CATTGCTTATATTCCTGGGAAAGTTTTCAGTCGGGGCCGTACTTTTGTTTAAGTTCGTTAATTCGCTTTTGCTCTTTCTTTGGCTTCTTCTGCTCGCTGCCTACATTCTTCTTTTCTTTGCTCTGCTGCTTGTTCCTCTTGGTCGGCTCGGCTAATGGGTGAAGATTCATACCAAGTTTGGTAGAAAATTTGGCCATCTTCTTCTTGTTTTCTTTCTTTTACTAGCAAATGGTTGTCTTTTAATTCTTTTCCTCACCTGCTCCAATCATTATTTTCTAAACATTCTCGATATTCCGAAAGGATTTTTGGCATTTCTTCTGCTGCATAGCAGCCTTTCCCTTCTTCAAAGAAACTGTTATATTCACCCTCTCTTTTAAAAAAAGACCAATTTACAAAATACTTGCCGGAGGATGTTCTTTGAATTTTGATTGTCTTAGGATGGTAGAGAAAATTTTCATTTTGTTTTTTGGCATTTGAAATTGAATTTTGCTTTCCTTGAAAATAAGAAGAATTACGAGTTATCTGTTCTTGCTCTTTGTTTTTATAGTTCATATACAACAAAAATCCACCCACGGTCAAAATATTTAGTATAATTAAACCTATGATTAGTAATTTAAACTTAAATGTGTTTTTTTTGGTTTTCATGTCAACGATTTAATGTAATTTTTATAATCAGAAGTTTTTTTTAAAGTTCATTTTAGCCTATATACTAAGCAGAATGAACGATAATATTAATCTCCCCGTTCGGCCCCATGACCCTGCCGGTGAATTCCAGTTAGACAGCAAGCCGACCCGAGGACAGTTGACCGGAACTGAGTTGGCCCAAGAGCCAACATCCGGAGAAGATAAAAGAGAATGAAAAGGTCCCGGAGAACCTAAAATCATCCACAAAACCCAAACTATTAAGGGAACTTTAACCTCCCGAATTGAAACCCGGGATAAAAATAAAGAACCTTATTATTATGGTTTCTTTAAATTAGCCAACCGGGCCCAAGACATTCCCGTAGTCTGAAAAGAAAAACCGAATTTAACCAAAGGCCAGCCAGCCCAACTAACCGGCCAATGAGCCAGCAGTCCCGGCTCCCGGCCCTCTTTTACCTGCTATGCTTATACGCGAAAGGAGGTCCACCATGCCTAATATTTACCAAAAACTGCAAACTATCCAAAGCCAGACCGGGCAAATTAACAAAACGGAATTAAATAAATTCGGCAACTACAAATATTTCACCGAGCAACAAGCCCTAAAACTCCTGAAACCTTTGCTGGCCGAGCAAAAACTAACTTTAACGTTTAGTGATATTTATAACTATACCCAACCTAACGGGGGATTTAGTTCCCAAAAGCACGAAAAAGAATGAATGGTTAGTTATCCTAAGCAAGCCATTCTCACTAACTCGGAAAACCCCGAAGAGCAGTTAATCTTCCCTTACTGAGCCATTGGTTCTAATTCCGATCCAGCCAAAGCCAAAGGCTGTGCGGAGACTTATGCGATTAAATACTTCTTAACTAAATTCTTTTTAATCCCCACTACTGACGAACTGGATCCTGACGTAACCAAGGACCACGAATACTCCAATCGTCTTAAAGATGGCAGCCAAGAAACAGCCCAACAAATCCAAGCCCGACATCAAGCCAAAGAGCAAAAGCGAATTAACGAACTTAAACAAAAGTACGGCCCCGACTGAAAACTTTCCCAGGAATATAAGCAATG